CAGCATTCAATTTCAGGTAACACCACCCAAAGCTTATTCATGGAAATAACACAATCAAATACTCAACCCATTTAGAATCCAAACTACAATCAAAACCCTACCCATAAAGATTAGTTCATAGCTAAATTAATACTACAAAAATGAAAAACAAAAATACACAATTTAAACATAATGAAACTGAATGAAAGATAGAATCTCCCCAAAAGATGATCTTCTAGTCAAAATCTGAATCTTCCTTTAAACAATCCGAAAACTCCAAGCTTTACTCTAAGAAAGTGTAAAAACGGCTAAACCTAAAAAGCTCAAGCTCCTTTGGCAAAAGGTTAAGTTTTTCTTTTATACTTAGTCCAAAAACCCAGCCAAAAACACGCACACATGAAACTGTGCGTTTACAAAACTGAATAAGTTGACTGTTGCCACGGCGAGAATGAAAAAATCCCAATCGTCTCTTGCTTACTTCCCGCGGCGAAGACATTTTCTTTGCCGGGGCGAAGCTCCTTCAAAGTTCTGAATTTACAGAACTGCCACTCTGCTACTTCTCTTCTCGTTCGATTCTTCGATTCTCGGCTCTCTTCCTTGGGAACAAGCTTACATCGTGCTTTGTCCTGCTCTGGAACTCTCCTATCTTTTGAGATCCGCTCATTTTTGAGTCAAAACTATCCAATTTTGTCTTTATTTGCTCAAAAAGTCCATTTTAACCTGAAACACGAAAAGTAAAGAATTAAGCACCAATTCAGGTAAAAATGCACTAGAAAGTACCTAAAATCTGACAAAAAGATCAAATAAAAACTATATAATTTATTATCAACAACCTGTTGGGTTTGAGAGTTCAACATGTCCTTTACATGTTTGCAAGCTTAATAAAGCATTATATGGCCTTAAACAAGCTCCAAGGGCCTGGTTTGATATATTAAAGCAAGCCTTGATGGAACAAGGTTTCCAAAATTCAGTTTCTGATTCTAGTTTGTTTATTCTCAAGAATGAAAGTAAGGTTTTGTATGTACTCATCTATGTAGATGACATCTTGATTACCGAATCCAAGAACTCTTTTATTACCAAGTTGGTTCATGATTTAAATAACCAATTTGCGTTGAAAACCTTGGGATCAGTTGCCAATTTCTTGGGTTTAGAGGCTATAAGGACTGATGAAGGAATTCACTTGAGGTAGTCCAAATACATAACAGATTTACTTGTCAAGACAAAGATGCAAGATGCTCATCCTTTCCCAACTCCCACGGCTGTTGGAACTAAGCTTTTTGTTGGAGATAGTGAGTTGTTTAAGGAGCCTAGTCTTTATCGAAGCACCATTGGAGCATTGCAATATTTAACATTAACAAGGCCTGACATTAGTTTTACAGTTAACAAATTAAGTCAATTCTTTCAAGCCCCAACAGAACTTCAATGGCAGGCTTGTAAACGTGTGTTGAGATACATCAAAGGTACAAAATTCCATGATCTTATCTTCAAACCAGCCACCTCTCTTTGTGTTGAATGCTATGCCGATGCTGATTGGGGTTGTAACTTGGATGATAGAAGATCTACAAGCAGGTATTGTGTGTATCTTGGTCCTAATCTAGTTCAATGGAGTTCCCGCAAGCAAAAAGTGGTTGTACTCTCATCTACTGAAGCTAAATATAGGGCTTTAACACAAACAGCAACTGAATTGGCATGGTTGGATAGTCTATTCTCTGAATTAGATGTGAAACTAAGCTCCCTTCCCATAATTTGGTGCGATAATGTGAGTGCAGGAGCTTTAGTAGCCAATCCAGTATTTCATGCTAGAACAAAGCATATAGAAATAGATGCACACTATATAAGAGATCAAGTGTTAGCCAAGAGAGTCCTGGTGCAATATGTTCCATCTAAGTTGCAAATAGCTGATGTTTTGACGAAGGCTCTCTCCATTTCTCAGTTTCAGGAGTTAAAAAGTAAACTGACAGTGGGTGCAGTAGAATTGAAAACTTAGTTGCTATAGAGATCTCAGTTCAGTTTACTTGTTTGAGAACTTAATCAACTTTGGAAGTTGGTATCAGGCACAATTCATTGATCTGAAATCTTAATAAGCTATTCAAATTGATGTCTAGTTTGAAATTGATGTCAAGATCAACTCACTGATCTCAGAACACCTCTTACTACCAGCCGTATCACAAGTATTTCACACTGCAATAGTGATCTATGTAGTTTGCATATTTGCAGTCTTTACGCTAAAACTTGAGTTTAGTTCAGATCAGTTCAGTTAAGATTAGAGAATGCTTATGAGCTTTGAGTTTAGTTTAGATCAGTTCAATTCAGATCAGAGAATGCTTATGAGCTCTGAGCTTAGTTCAGATCAGTTCAGTTCAGTTCAGATCAGAGAATGCTTATGAGTTTTTTGTTTTAAAGAATGATGAAGCAAGTAAAAGAAACGTGAGCAGTTAATTGGAATAAACCAGCGGCTTAGTCTGGGGGGGAATGTTAGTCAGTCTTTGATTAAACCCGTGGCTTGGTTTACGGGGGAATGTCAGTCAGCTTTAGTATGAAAATATATGGTCTCTTTGTAATTTGTCCCCTGTTTACTCTATTTCTCTTACACGATGTCGTTACTCTTATGAATATTGTTGTAAAATAGTCATCTGCTTCAGCTCTTTACAAGTATAAAAGGTGAGTTGTTGCATCTGTAATACAATCACTTAAGAAATGAAAATACTCTTTGCTTGAGTATTCTTTGAAACTCTCTCCAGAACTCTCCACTCCTCTTTTAAGGTTTCACAACACCAAATAAGATGTAAAATAGGAAGGTAAGTAATAAGAAGCCAAGAGGTGGCATGGTGTATGAATGAGAAAATTCTTAAGCTAAAAGTTAAACGAACCGATAATTAGGAAGACCCCGAGTTTGATGATGCAGGATGCCCATGATCTCAATAGGGGCAAAGTTCCACCAAGTCCAGTCCTAACATTGTAAGACCATATTTGTAAGTTTGTCAACAACAAAATTCCCTTTACAAAAGATATGTTTGTGATGGAAAGTGATTTTGCTCAAGAGATGTAGGTAATTAAACCATCTATTAACTATTATGCACAGTCCAAGGTGGAAGATGAGATGATGAAGTGAGACAAAGCGGCTGAAGAGTCCTTTCTAGAAAATGAAGTGAGGCAATTTCAATAGCCTAAATAATAGCGTAAATCTCACTGTAGAGTGAAGTCTCGTGACCTAGAGGAATTGCAAGGTCGAGATTGACTTTGAATAGTCCATTGGTATTAACTTTGATCCAAGGTCTTATAGGAGGATACCAAATAACATTCTGAATTTTTGGGGCATTACGAAAATGAGAACGGATTCCCAAATTATCAAAAAATAATAGTTTTAGAAGATGAGTTAATAAAGTCTAAGGCATAAAGAAGCCAAAAGTTGAATGTGTGCCTTGCATGAACAAGTTGATTGCCTTTGAAGTAATATTTTATCTGTTTGTCATGTTGGTCAGAAACCGAGATTAGTTTTAATCTACTTTTATTAATATTTTTCCATTCTAATGTAACACACAAATGAAATTGCATGAATAGGTAAATGATTTAAGTTTCGTCCCAGAACAGAATTCCCAACATGTATTTGTTAAATCAATTAATGTCTCTGATAAGGACATATTTAAGAAAAATAATTTTTTTTCATGTGTAGTATTACTCTATATCTCTCAGGTTGTCTACAAATACATATTTGTGAAGACGCTATGATTCACACTGGCCTTGAAGCACAAGAAGCTTTCCAAAACAATCTACATCGATCTTTTCTTGTTTTTTGTTCAACCAGAAAAAGAAACTTTAGAATTATGTCTCTTTCAATAGTTTCAGCTGCTGCTATTTCAGTTGAAAATACTACAAAGGAAGAAACTAATCGTCGCTCAGCTAATTTTCATCCTAGCATTTGGGGGGATCATTTCCTCTCATATGCTACTGAGTCCATGGTAAAATTAATGGTTCTTTTAATTTAATTAGGATGTGTTTGTCCAAAAATGTTTTCTGTAAAAACTAAAGAGAAAACATTTTTGAAAAGTACTCTTAATCTAAAACATGCACACTCCGCATGTGTATGAGTTCAAGCCAATGTATATTTTGCACTTTCTGAAATATAATTTTCTATCCTAGCTCTTAAATATGGCTTTAATTTTCTCTAACTTTTTTGTTTTAGGAAACTGATCATTATGCAAGGCTACTAGAACTAAAGGAAGAAATTAGAAAATTGATAATTGCTAACGTGAAAAAGCTTGCAGAGAAACTTGACTTGATTGATGCAATCCAAAGGTTAGGCGCGTCTTATCATTTTGAAACTGAGGTTGATGAAATACTAGCAAAAGTCTACAAGACTCACCAAGACAGTGATCTCAGAGATGACTTATATTCAACCTCTCTTGAATTCCGATTGTTAAGACAAAATGGTTATAACATTTCTTGTGGTATATGTTCTTTCTCGAACCTCTTCCTCTTATTGTTCTTAATTTAACTACACCTTTTAATTTCATCGTTTAAGTATCATGTGTGATGGGGTGAAATAGACATTTTCAACAAGTTCAAGGACAGCAATGGGAAGTTCAAGGCATCTCTTGAAAAAGATGTTCGAGGAATGTTAAGTTTGTATGAAGCCACACATCTCAAGGTGCATGGAGAGAATATATTCGATTAAGCGCTCACTTTCATTGTTAAGACACATTTTATCAAGATGAAAGATGAAACTGTAAATGCAATTTAGCTTGACTGGGGCTCTTAGACAAACAGTATTTGTCCAAGTTGAAACTGCAAGTAGAGAATAGAGTTTAGCTTGACTGGAGCTGTTAGACAAACAGTGACGTTTAAGAAAGGTTAAAGTGTTGTCGTTTTTTTTTGTTGAAATAATCAGCAATTAAAGCTGACTTGTAACACTGTTCACTTTATTGAAATATTAAGAAAAGTTCTAATCCCTCTTTTCTCTCTGTTTTTGCTCTCAAATCCCTAACCTTCACATGGTATCAGAGCTTCCTTGACTAACGTCAATGGCGGAAAAATTTGATAGCTCTAATTCAACCGACAACATTGACAGAATGTTTCACAACTCTGTCAACAATTCTTTTAATCTCACTTCCTCAGCTATTTCCTCTAGTCTCCAAGTTATTAATCCAAAGCTTACTTTAGACAATTACAAATTCTGGTGTTCTCAAGTACTTTTTGCAGTAGGAGCTCATGAATTGGAAGATCATCTAACAGGTTTAGTTCCCTATCCAACTCCTTTAATTCCTAGCAATTTCGATAGTTCTAAAGATATAGCTGATGGTCAAAATGTTTAGTTTTTTTCTAAAGAAAGATCAATCCAGCTTACACTCTATGGAAACGAACTGATAAGTTTCTTGTGAGCTGGTTGTTAGCGTCGATATTTGAGAATATGTTTAAAACTATTTCTAAATGTCAGTATTCCACTGAAATTTGGCTTGTTCTTGAAAAAGAATTCATCACAGATTCCAAAGCTAGGGCTTTACATTTAAAGAATTTACTTCAGAATACTAGCAAAGACAATCTTAGTATAAGTGAATATGTTAGAAAGATGAAAGGAATTTCTGATAGTTTGTCAGCTAGTGGACAAATTATTTCTAAGGAAGATTTGCTCCATTATATCTTAGATGGACTAGGTCCATAATATGACGCTGTTGTTGTAAACCTCACCTCAAGAATAGAATCTAGAACTGACTTAGTGTCCTCGCAAGAAGCTCAATTTCTGTTGCAGAAGTACGAAATCAGGTTGGACAAGTTCAATTTAGTAGACTTTCATAATAGCTCAGCTCACACTGTAGCTACAATAAGAACCAGTTCCACATCTGTGCCTAGTAATCATACTCAGCATGTCACCCTTGGTTTTGCTAATGTGTCTCATAGTCTTGATCCATCCTTAAACACATTAGGAAGTCATAAACTACATGGCAACTACCCTATTGCTACTGGACAGATAGGCCAATCCATTTCTAGTTCTCAATTTGGTCAGCAAGGTTATCCTGATACCAATAGTGGTTTTAGATCTAGTTTTGGAAACAACTTTGGAAGTTATAGACCTCATTTCAATAATTTTGGAAGAGGTAGAGGCAGATCTAATGGAAGAGGTAAACCTGTTTGTCAGGTTTGCAATAAGACTGGACATATTGCCATACAGTGCTATCACATGTACAATTCAGCTTATAATGGACAGATGCAATGCACTGGTTATCAGAATTTTTACAATAATGGTAATCTGTAGTCCACTGGTCCACAGAGCTTCTATACTAATCCTAGTATTTCACATAAAATTTATGGTGTGTTCAATGTGCCAAGTCATCAGGATCAGAATTTTAATCGAGCATCCAACTCGTCAAATTCTTTTACTCCATCTCAACAAGGCTTTGGACATGTTACCTTTCCACAGAATTATTCTCATGTTGGTAGTTCTGGAAATGTACCATCTCAAGCATTAGTTCAAGCTCATTTTGCTGCTCTAACTGTTCAGAATACCAATTCTGTTACTGATTATGGTCATGTTCCCAATTCATCTAACCATGGAGCTCAACCCATTATGGTGAATTAGAACAGTGGTTTGTCTGTTTATAAAGCTTTATCATCCACTTCACAGGATCCTACCTGGTACATGGACTCAAGAGCAACTGACCATGTTACATCTGACCTCACTCAGTTAAACATCAGCAAGGACTATGATGGATCAAATCAACTCCAAGTAGGCAGTGATGAGTTCCTCCACATTACACACACTGGTTTTACTTCTTTGCCTAGTATTTTGCAGAATAAATGCTTACATTTAAAACATGTTCTTTGTGTTCCTAGAATAACCAAAAACTTACTTAGCATATCAAAATTCACTAAAAACAATAATGTTGTAGTTGAATTTAATGTTGTTTCCTGCGTTGTTAAGGACAAAGTCACCATAGCAACTTTACTGCAAGGAGAGCTTAGAGCAGGCTTATATCAACTGAATCTTTCCCCAAAATTACCTTCATATTCACCTTCTTGCTTAAAGTCATCGATTTCACCTCAGAATTGTTCCTATAATGTCAACCTGACTTCTGAACCTTTAAATGAGTCTCATACTTGTGCAATCAATAAAGATGTTGTTATAGTAATACATGATAGTTTAAATGGTCAAATAAATAGTATGCAGAATGCTACTACACCTTGTACTGATAACTCTACATCTTGTACTAAAAATTCTGTTTCATCCTATTCATCATGTGTTAATAAAAACAATGATGTTTCTGTTTCTGTTTGTGTTGATACAGCTTTACTTGCATCTGATAATTCTGTTTCACCCTGTGTTAATGAAGATTTCATTGCATCTGATAACTCCTTAGCTGACTCTAATAGTAATAATACTTCACCAACATCTGTTCATGTTGTTCATAAACACAATGATGATGCTATGCTATGGCATATGAGGTTAGGACATCCACACTTAGCAACTTGCAAAAGATTTTAACAAGTATGATAGCAAATGACTCACTAATCACTTAACCTAAACTACTAGTTCCCTTTTGTGATGCCTGCCATTTAGGGAAAATGCATCAAAACACCTTTCCTATTTCATATTCTAGAGCTAGTGCACCTCTTGAACTTGTTCATAGTGATATATGGGGACTTGCTCCATTGATTTCCACAGAAGGTTTTAGGTATTATGTACACTTTATAGATGATTACAGTAGATTCACCTGGTTATTCCCTCTTAGGACAAAGGCTAGAGTCAAATCTATATTTGTAAAATTCCATCATCTAGCAGAAAGACAGTTTAACTATAAATTGAAATGCCTTCAATCTGATCAAGGTGGTGAGTAGAAGCAACTGGTTTCATATCTTACCACTGAAGGCATTCAATTCAAATATTCTTGCTCCTATGTGCATCAGCAACATGGTCGTAGTGAAAGAAAACATAGGCACATTATTGAAACAGGCCTTACTCTCTTAGCTCATGCATCTATGCCCTTAGATTTTTGGTGGCTTGCTTTTGAATCTGCTGCGTTCCTCATTAATAGAATGCCTTCACCAGTAACCGATAATCTATCTCCTTATCAATTGTTGTTTAAGACAGTTCCTATTTATTCAACACTGAAAGTGTTTGGTTGTGCATGTTTTCCTTTTGTTAGAACTTTCAATAGGCATAAATTTAGTTTCCATTCTTCAAAATGTGTCTTTGTAGGGTACAGTTTAGTTCACAAAAGCTATAAGTGTCTCACATCTGATGGTAAAATCATTGTTACACCTAGTGTTAAATTCAATGAATCCGATTTCCCTTTTTCCACTGGTTTTAAGTATACCTGTCCACACTTTCTCCTTCAGACCAAAATCAGTCTTCCTGTTTTTCTGAACAATTTTCTAGTTTACTCTTTCGATCTATAGCTTCTTCTAAGTCTCTTACAGTAAAGTGCTATGTACCTTAGTTCTCGAGAGCAACTGGTAAGCAAAATTCCTCTACAACTTCTCCATTTCCTTTCTCTCATAACACAGTTCCCATATCCCAAAAACAATCTGCCATATCACCTATATTATCTTCATCTCACTCACCCACACTCTCTTCTACACCTTCTACAATTGATACTCCATCTAACATTAATCCATCATCATCTACATCTCTCCAATCACCACAAACTATTCCTTCAGACAAGGTTATTCCCATTTGCTCTATTGAGGTTGATCTGTGTCTATCTCAGTATGCTGATAAAACTGAAACGTCAGATTCTGTTTGTAATGTGCACCCCATGATAACAAGAGCAAAAACAAAGAGCAAAGCGTCTTGTCCTATAGTTTTTACAGCTGTTAGTTCTCCTATGTCTGAACCAGCATCAGTTTCTGAAGCTCTTAGCTTGCTAGAATGGAAACAAGCCATGCAGATTGAATATGATGCTTTAATTGCCAATAATACCTAGACTCTTGTTCCCTTTACCTTAGATATGCATGTTGTGGGAAATAAATGGGTTTTTAGAGTCAAATATCATGCTGATGGCACCTTTCAAAAGTATAAAGCAAGATTAGTTGCAAAGGGTTTCCAACAAACTGCTGGATTGGATTATTTTGAGACTTTTAGTCCAGTCATAAAACCCTCAACCATTAGGATTATTTTTACCATTGCTGCCAAATACAATTGGGATATACAACAAGTGGATGTCAATAATGCTTTCTTGAATGGTGAGCTTAATGAAGTTGTATATATGGAACAGCCTTCAGGTTTTGTTGATCAGCATAGAGTTTCTCATGTTTGCAAGCTGAATAAGGCCTTGTATGGTCTTAAACAAGCTCCTAGAACCTCGTTTGACAAGTTAAAAGCAGCTCTGATCAGTAAAGGTTTTCATAATTCAGTATCTGATTCTAGTCTCTTTGTGCATAAGGAAAATCATCAGGTTACATATGTCTTAATACATGTTGATGATATTCTTCTTACTGGATCAAACATTGATTTTGTTCATCAATTGGTGAAAGAGCTGAATGATAAATTTGCTTTGAAAACACTTGGTTCCTTACATTACTTCCTGGGTCTTGAGGTCACTAGAAATGCAGCTGGGATTCATCTAAAGCAAACTAAATACGCTACTGATTTGTTGCTTAAAACCAAAATGCTTAAGGCCAATCCTTGTTCTACTCCCATGGCCTTTGGTACTAAATTGTTTCCTGAAGATAGTCCACTGTTTGACAATCCTAGTCTGTTTCGAAGCACTGTAGGAGCTTTGCAATATTTGCTTCTTACTAGACCTGATATTAGTTTTTCAGTCAATTCCTTCAAGCTCCCAGTGACCTGCAATGGCAAGCATGTAAGAGAATTTTAAGGCATCCTAAAGGTACTATCAGCCAAGGTTTGCTCTTTAGACCAGCAGCTAGTTTAAACATAGAATGTTATGCTGATGCAGACTGGGGTAGTAGTATTGCAGATAGGAAATCCACCAGTGGATATTGTGTATTTTTGGGGCCTAATTTGATTCAATGGAGCTCTAAAAAACAGAGAGTGGTTGCCTTGTCATCCACTAAAGCAGAATATAGGGCATTGGCACAAACACTTACTGAAGTAGCTTGGTTACAAAGTTTATTTTCTGAATTGGGTCTAACATTTGGCAAATCTCCAGTTGTTTGGTGTGATAATGTTAGTGTAGGGGCCTTGGCAGCAAATCCAATTTTTCATGCCCGGACAAAGCATATTGAGAGTCATGCGCATTATATCCGTGAACAAGTTCTAGCCAAGAAATTTGTAGTTCAATATGTTCCCTCCAAGTTACAAATTGCAGATATTTTAACAAAAGCTTTGTCCATTTCTCAATTTCTTACTTTAAAGCAGAAATTGAATGTTGTTGATCAAGGTACAAGCACCATTGTTTGATTAAGTTGCTTTGACTGAGTAATTTAGGGTTGGTAGTTATGAAGATGAAGATTGCTGGTGTTGAGTTCTTGAGTTGTGAAAGTTGCTGTTGCAGTTATAATTTTGCTATATAGTTGAAATTTTGCAGTTGTTTTTGGTTGAGGTTTTTTTTTTTTTTTGTTTTTTTTTTTTTGTTTTTTTTTTTTTTTTTGTAGTCAGTTGAGAAATTGCAGTTTTTCTGTTTTTTGTGAAGAAATCTGTCGATTGAGCAGATGTGAAGCAATTTAAACGTGTAGATGTCAAGCTGAAAAATGTACAGTTGTATGAAAATGCAGCTGTGAAGTTGTAAGACTGAGATATTAAAGAATGTTATTGATAAAGGTACAAGCAACATTAGTTGATCAAGTTGTTTTTGGCTAAGTAATTTTGAAGATGAAGGTTGGTAGTTCTGAAGATGAAGATTGCTTGTGTTAAGTTGACTTGCTGTGAAAGTTGCAGTTGCAGTTATAACTTTTGCTATGCAGTTGGAGTTTTGCAGTTACTTTGGTTAAGTAATTTTTTGGCTTATTGAGTCGCTGAAATTTCATTTGTGAAGAAATCTGCAGTAGAGCAGATGTAAAGCTGTATCACAGTGTAAATGTCAAGTTGTGAAATGTGAAGTTATATGAAAGTGCAGAAGTGAAACTGTGAAAATGAGAAATTGCAATTTGTTGTTGAAATTGCCAAAAAACAAAAACAAAAACAAAATAATAATAATAATAATAATAATAATAATAATAATAATTGCACATTGTTGTTGAGAAGTTTGTTGTTGAAATTGCAAAGAAATTGCAGATTGTTGTTGAACAGATGTTAAACTGTATGAAAAAGTGTTGCTGTGAAGTTGTGAAATTGTGTGAAACTGTGAAATCACAGTTGTGCTGTTATGAAGCAGAAATTGGCAAGTGATCGGCAAGTTAATCTCAATTGACTTGTAGCTGAGCAGATGTGAAAGTTGTATGAAAGTGCACAAGTGAAGCTGTGAAAATAAGAAATTGTATGAAAGTGCAGTTTGCAAATAACTGATCATCTTGTTATGAGGTGTTGGTATCTTGTTATGAGGTGTTGGTCTTAGTGACAAGTTTTATTTGACGGGGGCTGTTAAGACACATTTTATCAAGATGAAAGATGAAAATGTAAATGCAGTTTAGCTTGACAGGGGCTATTGGACAAACGGTATTTGTCCAAGCTGAAACTGCAAGTAGAGAGTAAAGTTTAGCTTGACTGGAGCTGTTAGACAAACGGTGACGTTTAAGAAAGGTTAAAGTGTCGTCGTTTTTTTATGTTGAAATAATCAGCTATTAAAGCTAACTTGTAACACTGTTCACTTTATCGAAATATTAAGAAAAGTTCTAATCTCTCTTTTCTCTCTGTTTTTGCTCTCAAATCCCTAACCTTCACATTCACTACCGCTCACCTTGAGTCCATTGCAGCCCAACTTAGCCCTCCAGTTGCAGCTCAAGTTAAGCATGCCTTAAATCGTCCAATTCGCAAGGGCGTACAGAGGATCGACGCTAGACATTACATGTGCATCTTTCAAGAAGATGCTTCCCACTTCCACAATGAAGTTCTATTAGCCTTTGCAAAGTTAGATTTTAACATATTATAAAAGATGCACCAGATTGAACTCAGTCATATTGCAAAGTAAGCTTTAAAATGACAGCAGTTCTACCATTTTTAAGCTTTAGATTCACTAAATTTATCTAATGACTTCTGTTTAATATTGTTATTTTAGGTGGTGGAAAGATTTAGACTTTGCCCATAAGCTACCTTTTACAAGAGACAGAGTGATAGAATGCTACTTTTGGATAGTGGGAGTGTATTTCGAGCCTGAATATCCTCTGGCTAGAAGGATATTAACCAAAGTGATTGCAATGACTTCTGTTATTAACGATGTCTATGATGTGTATGGTACAATTGAAGAACTTGAGCTTTTTACCGAAGCAATTGAAAGGTAATTATTCAATTCTTGACCTATACATATCCATTCTCTCTAATCATCCTATTAATTTACATTTATTCATATAAGATTGCATCTTCTTTTTTCAGGTGGGATGTCGGTGCCATGAATCAACTGCCTGGGTACATGAAACTGTGCTATTGGTCTCTCCTTGATGTTTACAGTGAAACTGAGAAAGACATGGCCGATCAAGGAAGATTATACCGCCTTCATTTTGCAAAAGAAGCGGTGAGTTTGATTTCATTTGACTAATTAGTTTAAATCAGAGTCAATTGGCATTCATTCTTACTTATACTACTAATTGAAAATTTTGATGATTTTTTGATTTCTTAGATGAAGACTTTAGTTAGAAATTACTTCTATGAAGCCAAATGGTGTCATCAAAATTATGTACCATCACTGGATGAGTACATGACTGTTGCATTAGTTACCTCTGGCTACTCAATGTTAGCCACAACATCATTTGTGGGAATGGGAAATATTGTAACCAAAGAAGCCTTTGAATGGTTATTCACAAATCCCAAGATGATAAACGCTTCCTCAGTAATCTGCAGACTCATGGATGACATGGTCTCCCATAAGGTAATTACATATTTCATTACTAGTATAGTTTATTCAAATATTGGTGTGAATTTTTCTTGAATTCCTTACTAACCAATAGGTGTTTTTCTATCATACAGTTTGAACAAAAGAGAGGCCATGTTGCCTCAAGCATTGAGTGTTTCATGATACAACATGGTGCAACCGAAGAAGAAGCACGCAATGAATTTCAAAAACAAGTGATAGATGCCTGGAAGGATATAAATGAAGAATGCCTTCGCCCAACTGCGGTGTCAATGCCTCTCCTTGACCGAATTCTCAATCTTTCTCGTGTGATAGATGTTATGTACAAGGATGAAGATGGCTACACTCATGCTCACGTTGTGCTTAAGGATTCTGTTGCTTCTCTGCTTATTAATCCTGTTCCATTATAAGCATGGAATTAAGACTCGATAATTTACTTTAAAGATAATTGGAATGATGCATTTCTCTCCTGTCAAACAAAACCATCTCTTCTTGAAATGTATTCTTCATTAAGCAGAAGCTATGCATCCCCTCTCCCGATGAATAGTAAGATGCTATAATAGTTCCTTTGTTATTAGCATTACAATATTGATTTTATATGATTCTGACTATTAGAGTCTTACACTGACTAGGTATACTCAAGCCTTTTGGTTTATAAAAAGGGGTAATCCTTCCATTCAACAAGGTCTTATTGGGTGAGGAGTTAAACCCACCTCAAATTCTATCATAGTATCAAAGCTTAGGTTCAGTTGAACTGAGTGCTTGATTAGCAGGTGAGGAGTCAATAACTACCTCTATCAATAGGCATGACTCAACATATGGGCTTGACTGTGAGGGAGAGTATTAGAGTCTCACACCGATTAGGCACGCTCAAGTCAATTGGGTTATAAAATGGGGTAATCCTTCATTCAACAAGACGTTATTGGATGAAAAGTCAAACCCACTTTAAATTCTTTCACTAAATAATGAGATACAAAACAAAGGAGTTTATGTTTTTTGTGTCACGTGATAGCACAATCAATTATCGGTAATATGGACAAAGTAAATATATAATTTATCTAAAAAAGTATACATAACTTTTGTTTAACATTTTTTATTTTATTTTTTAAAATCTATAATTTTCATCTTTCATATCATTATTTTTAACTGCTATATCGTCAAATACTTTTATAATAAATTTTTTTCCCTGATTTAAATACTTATTATTATTATAATTTTAATGGAAAGAAATATATATTTTTTTTTTAATTAGAAAACAACTTTTGGATTTTTTTATATTTATTATATCTAATTTTTTTGTTTAGTTTTATTTATAATCAAATAAGATAAAATGGTTTTTGTGTCTTTTCATCTTAATTGGTTTGTTAGATAACGAATTAGGTTAACAGCAGTTATCTTTTGCATGAAAATATCACCATATTATAATAATTGGACTTATAATGTCACTTATTTAAACATCTGGATTTAATTGTCAGTTACACTAATCTTGAAGGGTGTTTATGTTTTAAAGTCATATTGCCAACTGTTCTTGCACTAATCTCAATTCTCAGCCCGTCTGAAACTAAAATGTCCAGGAACTAACATTTAATTTATTGTTGATAATTATTCAATAATACATCAATGTTTTTCATTTGTGTAGTTCCACGGTCCCAGTGCCCCATGTATTTTATTCCGTTAAATAGATTTTGTGTGATTATGGTAACCACTTGTAAATAAAAAATTCATGATGCTTATGAAAATTATGGAAATTATTATCAACTTTAGCCATTTAAAGTATAATCTAGAAACCTGTTTCTAGACAGAAAATTAAGACTATATAAATTTAATTTCTTAACTTAAATGTTGACACAATTCTTTTCACTATTGATCTATTAATTACAATCAAATAGTTTTAGTAAAGAAGTTTAAAACAGTTATTTTTTACGCCACTTCAATATCTTTTAAATTATTAGATTATAATTCATAGATAATCATGGATGAGTATAAATAATTTAAATTGATATAACCTAGTAAATTGACTCCAAAAAAAAAAAAAAAAAATCACTTTAATTGAAAATTTTGTTCTTTTCCTTCCAAATACAGCAAATACAAACGTTTTTGCTGTTTAAAAGATTAAAATTTTCAAAAGCACAGATTTCGCAGATAATAAAGCTTCACCGGGCCTGGCATAGTTTTGCTGATACTATGACTACAGTAATTTTCAAATTTATATAGATGCCGAAACACGACTCTTTGATCACACAGGCCATTGAGACAAAAAATATACCAAAAAGGCGTTAAACTATAGCCCTGTTCGCCCAACAAGAGAACAAGATATGTCTGTTCCTGCTTCAGCCCTTATTACTACAACTGCCAACGTTAACCGTCCCAGAGCTAGATTTCATCCCAGCATTTGGCGGGATCAGTTTCTCTCATTTCCTTCTGACTCTATAATATATATCTAATCTTGTATACATAATTGTTTCATGCTACGTGACTGTTTTCATCTTTCACTTCTTAATTAATTAGTACTCCTCTTCTTCGTTTTATGATGTACACTGTTGTTTATTAATTAATTTGTGTATCAAAATTTTGTCATACACTGTTGTTTATTAATTAATTTGTGTATCAAAATTTTGTCTAGACGGTTGATCCTGCAACTCGACGAGAGCACCAAGGACTCAAACAAGAAACAAGGAGGATTTTAATCTCAACGACAAATAAGGATTTCCAGAAATTGTGCTTGATCGATGATATCCAGCGCTTAGGAGTGGCCTATCATTTTGAGAAAGAGGTAGAAGATGCATTAGAAGAAATTTATCATAATTACTACAACGATGGCAGCAATCTCAGCAGTATTGCTCTTCGATTTCAGTTACTTAGACAACAAGGGTACAAAGTTCCATGTGGTAACTAATTTAAATCTCTTTAATCTTATGCTTTCTTAATTGAACCAATGCTTTTAATTATTCATATATACGCACATGCATATGACTTCAAGTTTCATCAAGTGTGTTGATGCGTGATTTTGACACCAACGAAACGCACGTGTGAAATGCTGAGCTGGCTTAAAAGGCACACGTGAATGTAAGAGAAAATGAGAGTAAATGCAATGGGAACAGCTTTTAAAGTGGTTCGGATGCTAAGGAAGCAATTTCTACGTCTACTGATGTTTGTATTAATGATAGAGGTCAGGTCGCGTTAGCGGACTGACCTACAAATGATAGTACAAGAGAGAGAATGCTATATATTCTTGAAAGAGAATAGCTAATCAAAAGTAGAATAATCGAATCCCCCAAATGAGAGAGGAGCCCTTAATCTATAGTGGGACGGACTAAGGTTATCATTACTGAATCTGTGAGTTGGTGGGATTATCTGTACAAATCTTCCTTTACGTCCCATTGCCCACCTTCCAGAGTGATTTACGCGATTTGGCATAGGAATTTGGACATGTGGAAGCTTTCCAACTCCTGGCTGGTCTGGCACGCACCCACTGCACTGACAGGAGCATGCTGCTCCTTTCCTCACGTGACTCAGCTACAGGTATACCCATGCTCTGACTTTTGCATGCTGATTGGTCCTTACGTCAGCCCTGCATTCTTTAGGCATAACAGAAGTCCCCTAGTTTTTAAGGTTAAGGATTGAACCTTGGAAACTATAATTCATGCCGTGACTGGATGCTTTTGGGAAATTCTGGTGATTCCGACCTATTTCAAAATAGGTTGGGATATCGCTTTTTGTGAACATGAACTCGCATGGTCATATATCGCTTGTTAAGGATGAGCGACCTGACTTCGTCAAGCGTTACCTGTTGCACTTTCAATATGGATGCATTTAATGAAACAGCCTCTGCTCTGATAGACGTGTCATGTGTGTAATAAGTGCCAACCAGGCGCATTAAATGCGTGGTATGCTGACACGATACCCTTTATCAGAACATTAAATGCATAACATACTGAAACGACACCCCCTATCAGAGCATTAAATGCAAATTGGGGCGCAATTAATGTTGAGGGAGAGAGTGCGTCGCTTGAGTTTTTCAATGGAAAAGGATGACGGTTTGGTTTTTTGTAATCGTGACGCTTATTCTTTCTCACTAATCTGTGACACGTGGTCGTGATCAACAGTGAGACATTTTTCTGCTCAAACATCGTTTTGATTTCAAGAAAATCAAGTGTCGTTTCCTTTGCTATAAAAACTTAGACCCATCTCAGGCAATGTCACCACACTCGTCTTTTTCAGAGAGAGCAAGAGACTTTCGCAAGCTTGGAATTTTTGCCTTCTAAGCCAGTGTGTTTCTGATACCTGAAGCAGAAGGAGCCATTTTCATATTCCGAGAGGTAATTAAGAATCATTCTTTGCTTTTATTTTCTTATTGCCCTTGGTTGGTAAATGGCGTTAGTCTTCCGGTAGTTGACCAGTGACGAGACGCTTATGACATTCTATTAGAGTTTCCTCTAGGTTTTAGGGAGTTTGTTTCTGTTAGTGTACATTAGTGTATGCCCTAGAAACCATTCGTGTTGTCGGTTTCAGAGCATTTTGTCTTGTATCTATATATATCATAAATAATAGAAGAAAGAGTTCTTCAATTCATATATGTAAATTGCTTCCTTTATTCAGTCATGCATTTAAAATAAAGTATGTATATGAATTGTCCAGATGATTCATTTAATAGGTAAATGAATTATCGAAAAGGGTTCCCTACGGAAGCAATATAAATTTGGGCAACTATATTGCACAGTAGGCATACCGGATGCTTCCGAAAGATATCATGAGTTGATATAAGTACGGATGACGATGATAGTCATGTCACTGGGGCATTGGTATGGATTAACGGTTGGTGAACTGTTTTTCGAACGTGACCGAATAACGACAAATCACTTGGAAAAGCATGTAGTCAATGATTTATCGTTTGGTTATATCAGTGCACGATGTAGTCCTTTGACCTGAGACATTGTAGTCGGATCCGATATGGATGCGTATGGTTCATACGGTGTATAAGTACGAGACTAATCATGTTTCGTACAATAAAGCCTATTTGGTCATGCGTTGTTCATATGCGGAAACGAACGATGGTCAAGAGGGGATCCATTGACTCGGAAATATGGATCAGGAGTATCGTCTGACTCCATCCGATTCGAGTTCCTAGACGAACTCGAAAAGCGAAAACAAATCTCTGGCCAGAGTCTATTATTAGTCATCAAAAGTAAGTTTGTGATGACAAGTTTCGGACATATTGATCGATAATTCGGTAGAAGTCGAGTTTAGGATTTTGACGTTCCATGAATCCATACTCGATTAGATATCTCAATGGAGACTTTACCTGCATGTACGTATGATCTGAAATGGGTTCGATGAAGTATTTCTTCATCATGGTTTAGGGACTATGGCACATTGCTAGATGTTTACCATAGCGTTGGGCCTCCGACAGGTTTTCGGATTCATCCAGAACCGACCCACGGCTAATCCACGGTGGCCTACATGTCACACCAATAGCCTTGAGAAGTTAGAGAAGATGAGAGAGAGAAATGATTATCGAAGAGGGCTAGCACCTTCCAGGCTAATAACGGGATTTCTACGGTAATAGTTACATAGAAAACTATTTGTGACATTTTAAGGATTAAATGGTCAAGCAATAATTAATTATTAATTTTTTATTATATCTTAAAGTGTTAAGATTAAATCTTAAAGTGTTAAGATTAATGAGATGAACAAAAATAACCTTTAATAGTTAAAGGGTAAAAGGGTAACTTTATGGGTTGTCATTGTAAACTAGTTTAGTTTACATGGGCCCTTGAATAATATTGATTATTCAAAGGGTAGCATATAAATTCATGGGGTCCCTTTATAAATAAGATTTTATTGGGCTTTTAAGTGAAAAATAAAATTGCAAAATTGCCCAAGTAATATATAATGCAAAAGGTTGCTTTTTTGTTCATAACACACTTGTTCACTCAAAACAAAACCAAAACTCTCTCTAAAAGCCACGACCACTCTATAAACCTCTCAAGGTGTGGTTTAAAGTGTAGAGGTTTCATCCTTTTGAAGCTAATCTTCATCAATCCAAAGCAAAGGGTAGGTATATCTCATATCCAAGCTTTGCATGTAAACCGTTTTTTTTTAATCCATGCTTTCATTCTCCATCTCCACCCTCTTGCTATGCTGATCTTTCAAATGGATCAGAGCTAAAAGCTCCTTGCATGTCGAATTTATAAGCTAAAATGGCATTTTCCATGTGTTCATATGTTCATCAAACTTGGTTGAGTTTGCATGTTAGTGATATGGTTCAAAAATGTTTTTTTCATAGTAGTCTTTACATGCATGTCTCGGCCATACATAGATCGAGGTATAGTTCATTCTTCTTCTCATTCTTATATGTTTGAATGATGATAATGGTTATAATGAGCATGCCTTAGTATTGGATGAGTTGTTTGATGATAAGCATGTTTGATGCATGTGTATGTCTCGGCCATCTCTTGATCTTTGGAAAACATGTTTTTCTTCTTCTCTAATATGATTTAAAGCATGTTGGATGATGATTATTGCATGAAATGTGTGAAAACTACATGCATGCATTATGTCATTCGGCCATGACTAGTTTTGCCATAAAAATGTCATTTCATTCATGTATTGATGAATGATGTTTTAGGAAATGTTGCATATGATTCATTTAGAAAAATGTTCATGCATGTTTTCATCCTTACTTTGATAATGGTTTATGCTTGACATGCTAAATGTGTATCTTTAATTTGATTAAGTATATTTTTGCATGAAGTGTATGCAAATGTTGCAAGTGTTTAGTGGTGGAATTTGATGTTAGCATAAAGTTATGGATTATTCATTCATATGATGAATTATGATATTATATATGATTGTGGTAAATTTAATGTAGGATGTTTAATTTGATTAAATTATCTTATATGCATCATTGCATGGCATAAATTTTATATTTTTGAAATGTAATAATTTGGTTGTTTGAATGGTTTCAAAAATGATGATGCAAGATGGCATGATTGTCTTTGAAAAGATAAATATGTCATAAAAAGTATACTTTAGTTAAAGTAACTTGTGTCATAAATATTACTCTTGGAGTAATAAAACCCACTTATCTATGCCATGCATGACTTTTTTGAAAAGTATTGAAATGATGCTAACAATTAAATAGTATATCTTTGGGGGAATAGAACAAAAGTGTTTGTGTAATGATTCCTATAAATGTGTAATTGTTGCATGGCCCAAAGTTATAATTAAATTACCACATGAATAAATATAATATCTATTATATATGAGATATATTATAATATTTATATTCATGCCTTTAAATAATTGTTTATTATATTTGGTATGAATGTTTAATATTTATTTATGTGATGAATGAATATTAGATTAGAGGGTTGATCATGGGCGCCATTTGGTTTTCAAAATATTCAAAAGTGTTTGTATATTCTTTATTAAATGCTTGTAATAATTAAATTTTATTTATTTATTTTAATCGGCCTGCGTGCCTAAGATCCATATGTAGAATCGGCTAGACGGGAACCGAAGAACATCCGGATGATGATCCAATCGAAGATATAGTATTAGGGTAAATAGTTGTCTTTAGGATGTATTTTCGAAAAGCCCCATGGTCAAACCACATGCTTTAATTTATGCATATATTGATATGTATGAATGGATAATTAAACATGGCATACTAAAATGAATTAACTAAAGGTTAAACCTAAATCTCCCCAATTTAAAATTATAAATCCAAGTCTCCCTTGTGGGATAACTAAATTCTTTGATATAATTTTAATATCCCAAGATTTCTATTATGTGAGGGATACAATCTTTATATCATAGAATTAAGTTGATCTTGTTCTTGGATGGATATTTTCATCTTGACCAAGAATTCTATTATGGAGGACAT